ACCTATGGACAATGTTTAGTAGACGATAGTGGGGATGCTACGAAGAGTCGCACAAAGAGGAGACCGAGAACGTCTAATGTGTTCTATCTCATTCTCTCGCCGGCTGAATCCTATACATTTATGTGTTTGTGTCTCTATGGACTTATTTTTTCGTTTCATCGAGTTTGAAACACAACACGATTCTAAAGAAGTTTCGCTTCAATAAAAATCATCTCAGTAGCTAAATTTGCTTTAAATGCTCCACGAAATGACATACAGAACGAAAACAGACACGAAACACTGTTTTTACTGCCAACTCTTAAAAATGTACACTAAAAATACTTTAAATAATACATCCAGTGTTTACATACCACATTAGAAATTGAATAATATCATTTTCTCTGTTTAAAAATAATTCTTGCAGTAAACATCTTTGAATGTATTCTGGCAACTACTGTCAAAATTGAAAAGTGTCTACTTCACCGTAAATTACATACCTCTCATTTTCGAAATGTCAAGGTTTCTTTTCATCCTGCTCGGGGCCTATGGAAACATCGCGAGTATGTAAATATAATAATAACTACCTACTACGAAAATAAGAAAATTAGATTTTTCATATGAGATTCCTACCAAATTTTAAAGTTTTGCCAGAAATTTAAAGTAATTTTGCAATTTTGGATTTTTTAACACTCTATTAAGTTTCGTTTGATGGTTAATAAAATGGGCGATCGAACCGCAAACTATAGCAATGCCAGGGGCAGAGCCAAGCCGCGGCCTACAATTAAGTATAATAATATATCTATCTATACTAATAATATAAAGTTGAAGAGTTTGTTTGTTTGAACGCGCTAATCTCAGGAACTACTGGTCCAATTTGAATTCTTTCAGTGTTAGATTGCCCATTTATCCAGGAAGGCTCTAGACTATTTAACATCGCGCTAAGACCAATACAAGCGGAGCACCAATAAAGAATGTTTCTAAGTCGGGTTTTTTCCCTTTTGAGAGCTTCCGCTGCGTGCGCTGCAGAAACGGTTAAAGTTTCGCTAAAATAATGTATGACAGAATTCTTTCTTTTTAAAAGATCTAAAAAAAAGTCCGCGACAGCATATGTCTATATGTTCAGGTTGGCTCACTATAACGTTTTTATGCTAGCCACATTTGTTCTAAAATAAAGCTTTATTTGTGAACCACGCGGACGAAGTCGCGGGCAAAAGGCCGTAGTACAAGTATAAATTTTACTCACAGATCAAGGCTTCGGCAAGCAAATAAAGAGCGCCTAGTATTAAAGCGACAATCAAAACGCAACAACAAATCTTGCAGAGGACTTGCACGCAGCACTGGCAACAACAGCGGCAGCAATACTCGCAGGGCGCACAACAATTTCCACCACCGCCGCCTGGACCGCCAATTATGATGTTGCGAAAGCTGTCGTAACCAGAAATTAATTACGTACCCAATACAAAAATGCGGAAATCCAATAAAATATTACGAGCCGTCTGAATAGAGAATTCATTTGGTTTCTTCATAATAAGTTCGATTGAATAACATAACCAAATTACTGAAATGCCGACCGGAAATAGGAAAAAAAAGCTCGATTTTATGTTGATTGGTAAAAATTATTAATTTTATATTTAATCTTTAAAACTATTCCTTTCTAATAAACCTTTCTAATATTGATAGTTTAAAGGGGTGTTTTAAATTTTATTTTACCCTTTATTGGTCTCCGTTTTTTTAGTCTTGGTTGTTTGTTTGATCGTTTTGAAGCGAGATATGATGTCAATATGAAACTCAGGGGACCGACATACGATAATAATTTAATTATACTAATGTACAGAGACTGTGACAACGGAAATCGTTTTGTTGTAACTTCAATCCTCTGTAATTAATCAGTTTTTGGCAAAAATACACGTGTATCATAAAATAAATTTTAATACATTTAATTTTGAATTAAAAATAGTTTAAAAAAAATTATTTTATTAAAAAACGCTTTCCCTTCTTGGTCTTCACGCAGATACTCCGGGTCTCAGGAAAACAAAACATCGCTAATCCTGATTATCCAGGTGAGGATAACGGATCAAACTGCTTAAAATATTGAATTGTCATCGGTCCTTAATAAGTATGCCAAATTTCGAGTTAATCCGACGTTTTGAAGGGGACCAAAATCATGTTCAGATTCCGTTACATACGTATGAAGATAATAAAAGCGTATTAAAAAATATGACAAAAAATAAAATGATTTTATAGGTGATCTACTGATCAAATTTACAAGCGCTAAAAGCTAGCTTAATACACCTAACATCTAAACGTTATTATAATAGCCTCTAGAACTTTAAAAATAAGCGAATATAACACTTAATTCCGATTCAGTGTTACATTCGCCTCGCAATATTATGTTGTTGGGATTCAACAAGTTTAATACACTCATGCTATAAATACTCGTACGTGTAAACTATGTACATCTCTGTAACCTTTGTGCATTAAAACTTGTAAATAAATAAACATGTGAACCTAAAGCATGAGTTTTACACTCAAAATTTACAGTAAGCTGTTTTTATTGACATTGTTCTAATTAGCATACCAACTACCATATAGTTTAAAACATAAAATATCGTATTGTTTTAAAGATTTACTAACTATCTTTACTTAAAATTGTCCTGAGATAGAGTATAAACTTGGTCTGTTCATTGTGAGCTCCAAAAGTATTTTAAATGATTCAAATGAAGCCCCGTGACAAAGTTTCATTAAAGATTACATGAACGAAATTTTATATAGATATATTAATAAGTTTTATCTATCTATCTATATCTATCTATATATATATATATATATATATATATATATATATATATATATAAATGAATTGCTGTTCGTTAATTTCGCTAAAACTCGAGAACGGCTGGACCGATTTGGCTAATTTTGGTCTTGAATTATTCGTGGAAGTCCAGAGTGATTTAAAAAGTGAATAAATAATAAAATGCTCGGAATTATATAAAAACAAGCAATTTTGTTTTCCTTTGATGTGCCCTCGTTGGACGGATTCCTTTTTGTTTGTTTTATGTTTATTTCATACAAAATTTTAGGTCTTTTATTTATCGATTGGGGCACTACGAAGGTCCGCTAGTTAATAAATAAACAACGGCGTGTGCGGAGTGCTAATTATTGTAGATAATTCTAAGTTTATAATAATAATCATTTACCACATAATATATTATTCTCTGGCAGCATAACGATAGTTCACTATCATTTATTATTCACGCATAACGTTTAAAAGAGTTTGAATCTACTGTTTAAATAACTAATAATATAACTATTGCAATTGACATTATTTAGTTTAAAAGCAATATAATCAATCTTCTATGACGTTTAGATCTAACTAGAAAAAGAAACCGTATGTCCTATTTAATAGTTTATGGTTGTTTGTTTTTTTTTCTGTTCGTTTCCGGTATTTAATATATTTTTGTTATGTGCTTTGATAAGTGCTCACTGCCTATCACCACTTCGATAAAGCGGCACGACATGAGAATTCTCTCATTGTGGCCCGCCGGAAACTACTATACTGCGGTAGGCAGCGGCTTGGCTCTGCCCCTGGCATTGCTGAAGTTCATGTGCGACGGTAACTACTCACCATCAGGTGGCTGTATGCTCGTCTGGAGTCTGGAGTCGTCTACAACAGTCCACTAAGTTTCTCGCCGGATCTTCTCAGTGGGTCGCGTTTCTGATCCGGTGGTAGATTCTGCGAAGCACGGCTCTTGTTAGGGTTCATGTTGGCAACGTCGTAAGGTTTGAGCCCCGTGAGGTCACCTACTAGTTAAGGTTACGCTGATATGGTCTCTCTAGACTCTAGACCATCAGCTTAGGTAGGAAAAAAACAAAACTGCCTATCAGGTATTAGCGGTTACTAGAGCATACGTTTAGATATGTAACGATAACCGTTGAGGTAAACGTGCTCTTGAGTGGAGACCTCAATTGGCAAACGTGGTGCAGGACGTCCTCAAGCTCGATGGAGTGACGATCCATGTAGGGTAGTTGGCAAGAGGTGGATGAGAGAAGCCAGGGATTATGCTCAGTAGTGTGTAATTGGAGAAGCTTATATCCATCAACGGACTGCTATAAGCTGACGATGATGATAATAATGACGTTTCTTTAGATATCACAACTTGTATACTCACCGTCGAACATAGAATATGAGATTGAAATTTCAATTGTATTTAGAAAAATGTTGAAATTGTAAAACCTGACTGGTTTTCAACCGAACTATACATATGTACAAGCTTCTATTTCGTTTATATTTGAAAAGCCAATTAATTTTAATGAATCATGACACAAGTTCTATGCACTATTATAGTAGAGTAAAATGACTGATTCGGTGGTGTAATAGTAATCTCCCTGACTGGTGCGCCGAGGCTCGTGAGTTCGATTCCCACTTTGGGCAAACATTTCGTGTGTTGAACAGGTTTGTTTGCTTCTTGTCTGGGTGTTTATTATCTATATACGTATATATTTAGCGTATAGAAGTATGTATGTCAGTCTTTGGTATCCATAACAAAAGCAATCCTAAATTAGAGCCGTATGACCGTGGGCGATTTGTTCCTACTTATTTATTAAGATCTTTATATATTTAATTCTACTGTACGTGCGTATGTCATTGAACTCCTCCTAAACGGCTGGACAGATTTTGATGAAATTTTATGTGTTCCAATGGGTTCGAGAATGGTTTAGATTCACAATTGAGTATTGTAATATATTTATATATTTTTTAATTCATCACAGCAGTCTAAGATCTTTACAATTTATTCAAAAAAGTTTGAAATTTTTGCATTTTATTTGGCTTAATATCAATGTTTCACTGAAATTTATTTGTTAAATAAAATACTGTTATGATTATAAGACATTAAATAAAATATATTGTATAGTTTATTTTACAGGTACATAAAATAAAAAAAATACTTAAAAACAATCTAAAATAGAAGAAGAACAAGACCACATGAAACGTGCTACTAATTCGGACGTTACAGAAACAATCAAGACGTAACTATCTGTAATGAGTAATTTCGATTTTCCGTTCTCAACTTTGACAACAAAGCAATAAGGTCTAAACCACTGATCGGTATAACCATTTTCGGAGGACTTATTGATTCAGCAACTGTTGATGTGTTCGTTATCGTTGTTGAAGATCCAACTGTTGCATTGTTAGATGATGCTTTGGTGGTATTGGGTAACATAGTTGTTGTAGATGTTTCAAACATCGTTTCAGATTCGGAGGATGTTCCAAGCTCATCGTCTTCAAAATCCAGGACTTCTTTGATTGGTATTTGACGTTTAGGCTCGACACGATTGAAGAGACCTTTTGGCCCATGACGGCGAAATCCCTCTGAATCGCCTGAGACTGAAATTCAATATTATTTTCTTATAACTTAAGTTCGTATCTATCTACCGGTTCACAGATGCTCACTGCTGGTCATCAGCCTCACCCAAAGCTCGCCATAAGGACCTACGCTGCCTGCATCTACGTCTTCCGGTGCGCGGTCGCCACTCGAGAAATTTTATGGTTACAATGGTCACCCGTTCTTCAAGAAATGTATTGCGCATTGCTGTTAGATTAGGCGATGTCTATACATATTAATTTCAACGGTATGAGTGTCAATAATGTCTAAAAAACGCCTTTGCGTGTATAGGCCGAAACCACGAAAATAGCATTTTCATCGGGTAATTTCAAAGGAATAAAACTAGCTCTAGATTATATAGAAGTTTTTTTTTACTAGCCTAAGTAAGCGGACAAGCTAAAAACCTATTAGTTGTTAAGTGATGGTTAAGACCCAAGAATATAATAATGATTACCTTGAGACATGTTGTAGTAATATCTTACAACTGCTCTATCGTTGGTCTTATTTCATATTTGGCAGGCAATGGCAGCGGCCTTGGCATTGCTGATATCATTAATTAAAGTGTGGCAAAATGAAATTTCACAATTAAAATTTTTCGCAAGGGAAATTGTATAGCACGTATTTCAGTACAAATTTTAGGATATTAAACAATAGTACGTACGTTGTGTTTATAATGCTTTGTGCTTACTAACTAAAACATTAAACTTTCACTTTGACAACCAACCCCGTCGTTTTGAGAAAGCTTACAAGCTTTTCATGTTAAATTTACCAGGATTTACGTAGCTACTAAATTTACATTGACCCTTACTTTTGAAATGAAAAGAGCGAAAGCTTGTCCGAAACTACAATGAAAATTAAACTGGAAAATGTTCAAAGAAGATTCGAGATGTCATTGGAAGACAGTATTACCCACCATATCTGAATCTGGTCTTCATATCCACAAAGCAGTAGTTGTAACCAAGACCGATGCCCAGACACAGAGTGGCGACCAAAGTAATCATTTTACAGTACAATAAAACGGTACAAGTGAAGCAAAGCGATATTCTGCAAAAGATAAATTAAATCTAATTTAACTATTATAAATTATTATCGGTAGTACCGGTAAGTACACCAAACGGTTTTTTTTAATACTATCATTATATAATCAGCGACGTTTGAAATGAGCCATCTTTTCGTTGGATCTCTCGGAGTGGATACTCAATGAACCGAGTCTTGAACTGGAGTGAGCCTCAAAAATAAGATTACCTTATTATCAAGAAAAACCCACAACTTCCACGGTGATGGAATAACATCATTTTATTCCGTTATAATTTGCGTAATTACTGGTGGTAGGTCCTCTTGTGAGCCTGCACGGTTAGGTACCACCACCTTGTCTATTTCTGCCGTGAAGCAGTAATGCGTTTCGGTTTGAAGGGTGGGTCAGCCGTTGTAACTATACTGAGAGCTTAGAAGTTGTATCTCAGGGACATAATAAAAAATCAAAAGGTCAATCTAATGTACGTTACGATAAAATATATTAACAAATTTATACTTACTTTTCAGAAACATACAATACATTCGATATTGCGCTTACGACAATGCCCATTTCTGAGCGAATGTTAGAATTGTTCGCTATAAAAAGTAACAAAAAAAAAACGCTAAAAGTAAATAAAAACAATAAATGACGTGTCTTATGTCCATAATTTTTTTAAAACCTTTTACATATTGTTCCTCGTTTGAAAAAAGAGTATGTATGCATATTGTGTTCTCTTTCGTTTTCAAACAGCAATACCAGTGTACATTGGTTAAAAGTCAAATGTATTAAAAAAATTCCCGAATAAACTTTAATCTACAGATATCGACTGCTGAGCAAGTGTTTCCCCAAGCATATTAAAACGCCTCTTTTCTCAGAGTTTTCCCTCAAATTCATGAAATAGCCTTACGTGTGTAAGAATAATCATCCATATTTTAATTTCTTTTTAAGTGGGCAACTGAACTCATGGATCACCTGGTAATAATAAGCATCCGGAACCCATAAATGCCTTAATTTTACCATTCCCTTTGAGACAGGAAATCTATATCTGAATTTGTCGTAATTACTATTTTACTAGATTTCTCAGACTGACGCCAGGTACATTCACAGATCAATTTTAAATTAAGTTTGTATTTAGTAGAAGCTAGGATACATTTGTTGTATTAGTGTATATTTTGACTGAAAAATAATGATGTCGCATGTATAAAATGTTTATTCAAAAATGTAAAAGTCTAAAATGATTAATTGTATATAACAAATAAATATCTCAAAAAATACATTATCGATCTTCGTATTCACAAAATCAAACTGCACAATCGAAATAAAAATCACGTTAGTAATTCTAAAGTAAAATTTTTCCTTCGATTCTTTAACTTTGAAATCAATGACGGTAAGCTATCCCAATGCCTTCGAGATAAAACAATGGTAGATTGTATCTTTATCGACCTCGTTGGACGTTTTGGTTTCTGTGTTCTCTCCAATTCTACAAACTCTGAATTGTAATGTACATTTTCAGAGAAAACTCTTCGTCGTGGAGCCAATGTGGATGTGGAAGTTGTCGGTTTGACTTCTGCAAAAATTAGAAAAAGAAAAAAAAACCCTCAAAATTTATTAAACATCAAAAATAAAACCTAAATTTTCGTTTCATTACTGCACTCGACGCGAACTTGTAATTCACCATTAATCTTGATTCGCTATTTTCTAATATTAGAATAAGACGACCGTAATAGCTGCAAAGCGTAATAAATACTATTACCATGTACCCCATTCCTTGGACTCTAAGCCGATCTATCCCTAAAAGTATTTTAAGCGATCACTAGATCTTCACCCTAGTCTCTTGTTTTGCTACTCAAATCAACTATGCTTAAGCGTACGAACACAAAAGTATCGAATTTATTACAACTTTGTTCCTTTTCTCTAGGCTCCTTAGGGGACTTTAAGAGTTAAATTTACATTTCGTACTAATTATTTATATTAATATTGTCAAATCCATTCTCATCAATATCTATTGTGTAAACAACCTACAACTATACAATCCTGGTTCAGTCGATACATCATGTGATTACAGATTACAAATGGAGTATTTCAAAATCTGACATGAGATATCTATGTGACTATTATTTATATTATATTTCAGTAAACGAGTGCCCTAAAAATTTTAGTCTAGGACGCGAGAAACTAAAATCAAACTAACAAGAAATACTATTAGCTACAAGAAGCTGTTGTTTAATATAATTTACCATTAAGTTTCATGTCCACAAAGCAATAGTTATAGCCGAGACCAACACCGACTCCTAACATTATCGTTAGTGTTGCCACTATACAGGAAACAACGGCGGTTAGGGCACAACATGAAGCTAGTCTGTAAAAAAAAAGACAAAGGAATTTAAACAAGAAATTTTGAAACAGTTTTTTTTTTATATTATCTAAATCCATTATTTTTTACAATTCACCACAATTTCATTATATTAGATCTATTTCTATGTTTACTCGTGATAATAGTTGGGGGGCGTACTTTTGAGTCTTAAATTATTCCAAGTGAAGTTTGTGATAGTGGACAAGAGTGCTATCTATATTTCAATCGGTTATTACATATATTAAGACCATTCCTATCAATTCTGACATCTCTTCTAGCAAAAATCTAGACTTTATACGTAAAAAGCACCTTCTTTATCACCATTGTTTTTTTTTTTATTGCTTAGATGGGTGGACGAGCTCACAGCCCACCTGGTGTAAAGTGGTTACTGGAGCCCATGGACATCTACAACGTAAATGCGCCACCCACCTTGAGATATAAGTTCTAAAATCTCAGTATAGTTACAACGGCTGCCCCACCCTTCAAACCGAAACGCATTACTGCTTCACGGCAGAAATAGGCAGGGTGGTGGTACCTACCCGCGCGGACTCACAAGAGGTCCTACCACCAGTAAAAAGTAATAATGAAACTCAAGGAAATGAAAAAGCGACACTAAAAAGAGTCAAACGTATCTAATTATCGGATTTAGCTTATGACGAAATGAGATAGAATACTTGACAACATATGAACGGACCTCAGTGACCTCACGGCATACCTGGTGTTAAGTGATACCGAAGCCCACAGACGTGAATGACGCCATCATAAGACACAAGGTCAAACTCGTTATTTTATTGTAAAGGATTTATCCCATCTCACAGATATAACACAAGAAAAAAGCACGCTGGTTGCTCACAACATGACCGATGATAGTTTAAAGTAAATAAATTTCTGACAAATAAATCACAACATCAAAACAAAATCCACTGAAATCATAATACAGTTATAGTTGTAGCGATTTCAAAACCAACAAACAAAATTTCACAACTTTAAACATAACACCAAAACAACATTCCGGTAGTGGGATAGTTCGCATTATCACACATAGCTGACTATTTTAACTTTAAATTGCTTATAAGCCACTAAGTTCAGAGGCAACACTCCTCTAAATTCCACATATAATATAAAACAGATAGGCGTTTTCCTAAACAGCTCGATATCGCTTCGTTGTGCCTATCAAAGAATGGGATGCATTTGGAGAGACCTACACTCAGCATTGGGTGGACACCGGTTTAAGAATAATGCCATAGCTCTTTTTCATCTAATGCGGCCTACACACACACAAAATCAGTGGCGATATTAGGACAGCAGTGGTGGGGATAATCGTCCCAAAATCGTGAGCTCGCCCGAAGCGATTTTAGACTTTAGGGTAAACAATAAAAATCCGGTTACGAGGTGATTTAGGGTACGATTTAGGGTCCTCCTCGCCACTGTCCCGATATCGCAACTGATTTTAGGGTCGTGTGTAGACTGCATAAGCATACCATCGATAATGCATCGTAAAAAGTACTTCATATGAACTGATCCTTCAGCCACATCTCTCTGGGAAGCCGGCGACAATCACATAAAGTTGATGGTCTCTGAGATCGGTGGAAAAGTCCGATCAGACTCACGCTACTACAACTTCAATGTGTATGCGCATAATAAAGCTAAATAAAGTTCCTAGAATATGATAGTCCTCTCCAACTTGCATTATACTTGAGACGGACCTCAAATATATTAAATTGAGGATATAAAACGTACTTTGCCTAAATTTTCAGGATTTCAATTTATTTATGAATGAACGAATCATAATATTTTCTCCTCCTTTCTAACGTAGTCATTTAAGGTGTAGTTTTATTCATACTTCGTACATAAGATTGAGATCCTATTATTTTTAACAAGAAATGAAATGTAAATCATTATTTCGAATTAAATTACCGTTCCAATATGTATGTTACGTTGGATATTGTGTACCCACATTCCGAAAAAATATTACACATTATAATCTGTAGGTAAAATATGTATAAATAAAAATAAACATGTAAAGTATTGTATAAAAAATCTGTTAAATGAACTTGATGGGTGATTGGTCAAGCTTGTCAAAATTGGTGGAATTTTTGAACGAATTTATCATTTGCGATTCTTTTGTTAGTAAACTTATATTGTATTTATTGAAATTTTTATGATGATTAAAATTTTAATGAATTCAAACTCGATTTCGCGGTTGAATCATTTAATGCATGAAATAAAAATAAATTCAAAAAAATTAACAATTATATGAAGAGTGGCTTCATTTTGTAAACTAATGATCTGATTATCTTTGGTCAATTTTTATTTGTCATTTACAAACACATGTATTGTATTTTATACTTCTTTTTACATATTTATACATAAAATGGCCTTCACAATGGAATTAGAAACAAATCCCGAAATAACTAAAACGTAAGGAATATTTGATCGTGTAATAAAATCAAACCCGCAAAATTATAATTTGCGTAATTACTGGTGGTAGGACCTCTTGTGAGTCCGCACGGGTAGGTACCACCACCCTGCGTATTTCTGCCGTGAAGCAGTATTGCGTTTCGGTTTGAAGGGTGGGGCAGCCGTTGTAACTATGCTTGGGACCTTGGAACTTGTATCTCAGGGTGGGTGGCGTGTTGTAGATGTCTATGGGCTCCAGTAACCACTTAATATCAGGTGGGCTGTGAGCTCGTCCACTCATATAAGCAATAAAAAAAAAAGATCCATCGTAAGCTAAACATATTGTTGTTCACTGACTTGCATTGTGAAAACGCTCAGAAAGCTTGTTGTCCTGTTTTCCAGGTCATGTTGATGACAAGGTTTTTAAATGTAGGATTAGTATGTTGTTGTTGTAGTCCTAGGGTACCCCGCTGGTACAAAGGGCCCTCACGAATTGTCTCCATCCACTTCATCCTATATTGCGCTTTCCCGCTGGTTCATAGGGTCCTCACAAGTTGTCTCCACTTCAACCAGTCTTGCGCTTAATCATTAACATCGCTCCCAGTCAAGCCGGCAATAATGAGATTAGTATGTAATGCCAAATAATTTTTCAGCAGGCCCCGTTGGTTTGCCTGCATCATTTTCACAACAGGCATAATCATGATAACAGTGTCAGCTGTCGGAATCGGATCGTTTATTGGTTACACATATTGTTATATAGAAAATCGAAACGCTTATGCAACAGGTAATTAAATACTAATCATTTTTCTCCTTCCTACGCCGAAAGTTCGGTTTTTCTCCCGCTGTACAGGGAAGAAAGTGTAACTTTTCCTCCCTGACAAGTGCGCATGCGCGTTAGTGTCTACGTCTGCTCTCACGCACCTAAAATTCTCCGCCATTGTTGTGCTCGGGTAATTTGCAATATTGTGTTTAGTGTAAAAGTGAAATAAACAAAAGGCAATAAAATTTAATAGTGAAGTATTAAACAAAGATGAGTTCATCAGACAGTTCTTATTCACCTAATAGTAGTTTATTTAAAAATAAAAAACAGTTAAATTGTTTTTTTATGAGTACGGGGGGGGGTCTCCGCCCCCTACACCCCGCCAGGGCTTCACCCTTGGACCCAGGCTCGGTACTCCACGAACTTTCGGCCTGATAGGAGACAAAATAGTACTATTACACGATTGACAGACTAACTTTTTTAACTAAGCTAGGTATAGATAGGGTGTGATATTTCACGGTCGAAAATTTAAATTGCACTCGATAATATAGGTAGCGGCCAGATATTTACAATCACGTTTTAGGCATGGCATATGATGGACCTAGAATCGCACCAACCTATTTTCCCAAGTGTTTCAAAAATACGGTTAAGGGAATCACCGGATAATGCGCAGCAACGTTTTACGATATTTTACCAGTCTACTGCCCATAGCTACTGGTGGAAATTGAAATAGTCCTGCCAGTTTTAGACGCGAGGCAGTTGCGCTTTTCAATCTGAAGGGAGTACAGGCAAACAAAATTCCTATTCATATATTGGAGGTGGTAGAGCACACAGTAACACACTAGTCAGTTCTATCATCCTATTTCTGACGTGAAGCTGTCATGGGTTCTCGGATGATAAAGCGAATATTGTATCGGCACAGTTCCGTAGACATTATTGAAAAGAAGCTTCATAATGATCGATTCTTTCTCTAAAAGAAAATTTGGATACCGTTCAATCGATATTTTCTCTAATTTGTACACTTTTTGTGTATAGATAACAGAGAATTTATGTTTTTTTGTTTTATCTTATTTCAAACCTTATCCTCTACTATGCCCAGAGGTAATAAAATACATACATCAAAAGCTAAAACTCTGTTTTTCACATGGGCAATATTAATACAATACGTACTATAATTTCTACGCTTCTTGCTCTATTATTCTATGAATCTTTTCATTATTTCGGCCCTTTGCCTAAATAATGTAGCTGGAACATGAGATTGCTTTAAACAAAATATGAAGTACATTTTGAAGGAACTTTACGTAACTTCTTTATTACAATTAGGTAACTGTTAGCGTATTACGAATGGCTGATTGTGCGATCAGCATGCGATCAGCATTTCAACCTGAACGGTTGGGGGTCCAAAACATTTTTACGTTGGGGATTCCAGCTTACCGATACCCGGTCAACTGGGCATCAAACCGGGCTGTATCGGACTCCAGTGCCCCCGAAGGCGGTTGGTTAAGGCGGTACAAGCCAAAAACCTTATACTAGCTCATTACAAAAGGCAAGCATATAAGTTGGAATTTAGAGGTGGAAGTAATATAGTATCCTGTAGCCATACGATTTATTTATTCTTTCTTTTTTTTTAAAGGCAACGTGACCCAATCAACAAACTTACACATCATTCAAATGCCGTACGCGTCGAGAGCGAATAACAGGACAATCAACAGAGCTCTTATGTCTAACGTGGTAGTTTCGAGAATCCTACAAATCGGACATTTCATTTGGGACGATAGAGCATCTCTCCCACGATCGGAAGTGTCAAAAGAAGAGGATACAATTAAAGTTGTTAAAATTAATTAAAAAATGTTCGATTGTGTTTATATTTTATTTATTTACTACTCAACATCTTAGAACGGGCTTATAAACCTACGATAACTCATTAAGAATAAGAGTGTATGTAGGTAATGATCATGTTAAATTTCCTATTAAAAAAATACTAATTTTATGCTAATTTTATCAATTTTTTTACAGTAATTAATTCTATCACACATTTTAAATTCAAAACATTAACTTTACCAACTGTGGCTGTTTAGTGAGATAGCAGTTGGCATTGAACGGTTTTTTGCTACTGACGTGCTATTTAAGAACCAACTTTATCCGACAAATCTTTATTTGTTGTACAAGCTTTTTGCAAAGGATAAACGAATTAGGAAGACGAATAGAAGCTAGCTAGAATAACAAAATGAAGTTAGCAGTATTGAAGATGTAGGGAAGTAATAATATTAACTTGATAATAAAGGAAATTTTTGACAGAAAGGAAAACCGACTTGACTAAAATAAAATAGAAATATCATTGATGTAGTTGAAGCAAATTAAATAATCATAATAAAAGATAACTCAAAAATTTGTGGTCATATTTTGATAATATTTAACCTATTTATGTAAATTGAACCAAGAGAGAAGAATCAACTTCATAAAAATCATCAAAATCGATTTTCGTACAAAAAGTTCTCAGACAGATACAAAATACAGTCAAATGGAAAACCTCCTCCTTTTTTGAAACCGGTTTACAAACGCTCGTGCTTACAGAAGCTTTCTTTAAAGCGCCTGTCTGTTATACATGAGCAAAAACTCAACCATAAGAGAAGGATCAACTTCAAAAAAAAAAACATCAAAATCGAATTCCGTAGGAAAAAGTTTTCGGACAGTTAGAAAAAAACAGTGAAATGGATGACCTCCTCCTTTTTTGAAATCGGTTTACAAACGCTCGTGCTTACAGAAGCTTGTACAGAGTCAGAAATAAAATTTGAAACTAAATATGTACAATATCGACTGGTAATATATCGATGATGTACAATTATAATACTCCTACTATTCTAATTGTAAATATTATATAATAAAATTTAATTTCACATTAAGTACAACGTTCCACTATTACGTTGTTTTACATACCCGATACTGTGGACCGAATGGTAAACAGTCGACGTCGCCCTAAACACGTCATTAGGGATCCTCCCGTTGGGAGTTTCTTATTGGGGCTTAACAGAGGTATAGTCTAAGATCTCCCTGGGACCTGGAAGCGGAGGCGCTCGCTGCGGATTATGCGTGGCGATGCGATCTCCGCTCCAGGGGGGAGCCGCGTCCCGGCGCGGCGGAAGTTCGAGCGCGGAAGCTTCAATCTCGGCGTGCCGTGCTCGAGGCGTGGTCTCGCCGCCTGGCGGACCCCGCCTACGGGCGACGGACCGTCGAGGCGATCCGCCCGGTCCTCTCGGACTGGGTGAATCGCGACCGAGAACGTCTCACCTTCCGAGCGACGCAGGTGCTCACGGGACACGGCTGTTTCGGTCGCTACCTGCACCTCGTCGCCCGGAGGGAGCCGATGCCGAAGTGCCACCACTGCAGTGGCTGCAACGAGGACACGGCGGAGCACACGCTCGCGTACTGCATCGCTTTCGCGGAGCAGCGCCGCGTCCTCGTTGCAAAAATAGGACCGGACTTGTCGCTTCCGACCGTCGTGGCTACGATGCTCGGCAGCGACGAGTCCTGGCAGGCGATGCTCGACTTCTGCGAGTCCACCATCTCGCAGAAGGAGGCGGCGGAACGGGAGAGGGAGAGCTCTTCTTCCCTCTCGGCGCCGTGCCGCCGCCGTCG